AGTGCTTAAATTTGACAGTAATAAAAATATCATTTAATTTTTAGAAGGACTATTAATGCTGATGATTCTGACTGTTTTAATAATAAATTTTCTGTTGTACAAACATTATAACTTTGACTTTTGACTATTAAATTATATAAAAGTAAAGCTCAAATTGTTTTAATGTTTACATGTGTCTATATAAAGAGCAAATATTTGAAATTATTATAGTATTGGAGAGCCTTTTTTCGAGATGAAAATTAATTACATTAGTTTATATGGTAAAAATAAAATACATTTAATGAAGTTTTAATGTATGTCATCTCATAATACTAGCAGTTTGTTCAGTTTTTTGCATAGTTTTAAGCGCATCTTGCATGAATATTTCTTTTCATCTTACTGATTATATTCGATAATTATATGAAATCTCATAATTGATTTATATTTATTAGAGAATTTAAATTATTAAAAAATTATTAACAATCTTTTTTCCACGTATTTCTTTTAGATACAATAATTTGACATGAATAAATTCAGCGTCATTTTGTAGATATTAATAAATATATATATGTAGCACATTTGCATAAGCTTGTTCGGTATATATTCATTTATGACCTTTTTATTTACAAATGCAAATTGGTTAGATTTTTTTGAAGAGTAATAATTTCATGCGTGTGTACAATAAATGTTTGTTAAAATCTTTTCAAGCTATACTCTCTATTCATACTTGCAGTTCCGTGTTTTGAGCCATGCTGAACTCTTACTTACTTTGCTATTTTTATTAAATAGAACTTGACTAGTGAAAATATAGAAAATAAATTTATTAGTTTTATTCCTTCTAAAACTTTATTTGCATATAATTTTTATTTCTTTCGATAAACATTTTTTGGAAGGAAATATCAATCGCTGAAAAGTATACAAAGTATAAGTACTAAATTGATGACTGAATGAAAATAATAATGAGTAGTGCTTTCACATTTTTGTTGTCTGATATCAACCATCATAAAATCTGTTTTGTATATAATTTTCTGAAAGGTCAAACTTCAAATTATTACTTCTATTTTATACTTTTTATGTCTTAGGCGTGTAGTACATACTTGTAGATGAGATGAAATAAGACGTTTTGACGATCCTTTATGAACAGTAATTAGTAGTTTTGTATATACATTCCAATGATATTCACAAATGTTTTTGTAGTGATGTAAGAATTAATCTGTAGTGGTGAATTGTGAAAAGTTTTAACTATTATTACAATGTTAATGATAGAAAATATTGTACTGACTTATTGTGTTGTAAGTTTTTTTGAGTATCTGATTGAGTACAGATAAGATCAGTTAATTGCTTAGTAACAGAAATATGTTTTATATATTTTAGGAAACTTAATATAATATAGTGAAAATGGATACTTTATTCTATCTAATTCACTTATGTGTATCAATTTCGAGCTGATATTTGTTTGCTTCAAAATAATTGCTAAATGAAAAATACATAAAAATTAATCTCCAAGTATATACATATGTATGTATATATAAATGCTTTGTCTATGGTATTCTTCATCATTTATCAATAAATGGTATGTATCACCAATCAGTTGAATGATATGATCAGTTGTGTTGGAGTGGAAAAATAATGAATGTGAGAATAATATATATTTTTGTAGATGGAAAAGTTTAGCATTTGCATAAATGTTAATTATTCATTCATTCATTTTTTCCCTTTCTTTTGTTATATTTTTGTTATTTCAAAGAAAACGAGTTTTCTTCTGCTTTTTTGTTTAATTTCAATTTTTTTAAAATGCTGCAAACATTTAGCTAATTGTTTTGCTTTATCGATTGATAAATTTTGGTCAAAAAAGCTCTAATAAATTGATGGAAAAATTTGTAGAAATATACTTTAATCTATAACAGGGTGTGCTATAATTATAATATACTCTAAGAATTAATTAACTGTATTGCTTAGTATATCGCACTCGAAGGAAATGCTAAATATAAAATATGTGCGAAAGTCTTTATTGGTTAAGTAATAAGCATTAATTTGATTACATAAAGTTATTCAGTTAATTCATATTATCATATTTCGATAATAAAAATTTTATTGGTACTGAAATTATCAATTTTCTCTGTAATAAATTATAAAAGCATTTATCAGACATCTTTTGATAAGATTAGAAAACTGAAAATATTTTTTACCCATAGGTACTCATTATCAGCTGAATATGCCCCAAGCATATCAGACGCGAAACGGTTATGTTGGAAGTACGATGACAAGACCAGCTTCAGCAGCTGGTAAAAGAGGTGGTAGACGACCGAAAGAATATGAGGAATATGTTAGTTCTTGTAATAAATCGACTTTTTTGATAATTGTTTAAATTTGAAAAGTTTGCTGTTTTTATATCATTTTCAGGATCATGTTACGTTAAGTGAGGAGGAACGTGACAAACGTGATAAACGTCGTCTTCGAAATAAAGAAGCAGCAGCTAGATGTCGACAACGACGTCTTGATTTGATGGGTTCTTTACAAAGCGTAAGAGTTGATTTTAATATTTTATGTAGTAAAATGATGTATATATTTAAGAAAACAAGACTGGAATGAAAAACTGAATTTGGTAAATTTTATCTTAAATTATTTCATATTAAAAATAATTTCATGACTGCTTAAAGTTGAAAATATGTCTTTGGAAATACGACATCAATATTTTACATTTTGAATTAGTGGTTTAGCAATTTTTCATATTTGACAGGAATTTCTGTTCAATTTATTTGATACAAAGTTTTGATAAATACTAATTATTACTGATTGTTGCAAAGTAAGAGTTAAGATATTTTCAGTGCGATTAAATTTGATAAATTTTTTTTGATAAGGTTCTCCAATTTTGTAGTTTGATTGAAGAGATTACTAGAATTATGACTACTGTAATTGAATGGATTAGTAAAATCATTGTAGAGATAATTAAGTTTTTTGCTCTGAAAATTGCACATATTCTTATGCATAATAAAATAGATCAACAGTATCATTGTAAGCAAA